AGATACTTATAGGAAGGTTTCCTATTATGCCAAAGTTCATACGGAGTTTTGTCAAGTTTCTTACGAGGTATTTTATTTAGTAAATAATTACTTGATAAAACAGCCTCCCCCCACATGTTCTGAGGTAATCCAGAACTAAGCAGCATCGCATTCATCATGTCTTTTAGAGTGCGATTCTTGCGCTCCGCTACTCCGTTAGACTGTGGTGTATACGGTGGGGTTACTTGATGCACAATTCCATGTTGTGCACAAAACTCATTAAGTGGGGCATCATACTCACCACCTCTATCGCTTCTCAATGCTTTTATCTTGCGATTGAGTTGATTTTCCACTTCGTTCTTATAACGAACGAAAGTGTCTAACGCTTCATCTTTACTTTTTAGTAAATAGATATGGCAATATTTCGTGCTATCATCGACGAAGGTAATAAAGTACTTATTACCTCCTCTTGAAGGCGTTGTTCAAAAATCACACAAGTCAGTGTGAACCAACTCTAGAGGTTGAGTATTTCGTTCGATCGTTTGAAACGAACTTCGAGTTGACTTTGCCTCAACACAAGTTTCACACTTGCGAGTTAAGTCAATACTAAACTTAGGTATGTGTTCCATGTTAATTAATTTCCGGAAAGATGCATAATTAACATGTCCTAGTCTACCATGCCATAAACTAGAAGACTCACACACATAAGCAACAGGATTTTTATTGATCTTTTCATGAACAATCATTACATTAAGCTTTACAAGCCCATCGGAAATATAACCTTTCCCAATAAAAATCCCTTTCTTGGACAAAATTAGCTTGTCTGATTCAAACACCATTCGGAAGCCGTGTTTGATATACAATGACCCTGACACTAAATTCTTCCGAATATCCGGCACATAGAGCACGTCGGTAAGTGTTAACTCTTTGCCTGAGGTCATTTTGAGCTTAATCTTGCCCACTCTTTGGATCTCTGACTGGGCCGAGTTGCCCATCCAGACCTTATCACCGGAGGTCTCTTGGAAATCATGAAACATGCTCCTATTGGAGCAAATATGGCGTGTGGCTCCTGTGTCCACAAACCACTCCCTCGGGTTTGACCCGACTAGATTCACCTCGGTGACAACTGCGCAGAGGTCCAAGTTGTCGAGCTCTGCACACATAGCTTTGGTGGTTTTCTTCTTGTTCTTCTGTGGCTTCTTCTTCCTGTAATCGGAGGAACGATGCCCGGTAATGCCACAATTGTAGCACTTTCCTGCAAATTTAGAAACTCCACCTTTAGGACCCATCTTCTTTTTGTCCTTCCCACCGTGTGAAGAGCCCGACGGATGTTCTACAACATTCGCCTTAGCCCCTCCATTTCTTCTAGCAAGCCCTTCCTCTCGGATCCTCAACCGCGTGAGCAGTTGCTCCATATTCAGTTTCGTTCTTTTGAGCTTGAGGTCGACTTGGAAATCTTCCCATGACCGGGGAAGTTTGTGGATGATGGCCGCCACTTGAAAGGCCTCGCTGACGCCTACTTTTTCTTCATTGCATTTATTGAAGATAACTGTAAGCTCCTCAGCCTGGGCGACAACAGATTTGCTATCGACCATCTTGTAGTCCAACATCTTTCCGACGATGAACTTCTTCGTGCCGACATCTTCAGCTTGATACTTTTTGTTCAAGCTATTCCAAAGCTCCTTGGCGAGCGTCACACCGACATAGACGGGGTACAACGTATCTCCCAGCCCTTCAAGAATAATATTTAAGGCGAGATAGTTGTTGTGATACCACGCTTGGTTCACCATTGCCACAAGGGGGTCGTTGGCTTCATTGGGCTGAGGGGGATCTTGCTGTATGTACTCAGCAAACCCCAGGACGGTCAAGAAAAACATCATCTTTTGTTGCCACATCTTGAAGTTCGTCCCATTGAACTTCGGTGGCCTTTGAACCAAATTAGCGGGCACCGAAATCGGCCTAACTGCGTTGGCAGGTGGAGGAATGGCCCGTTAGTCGCCCAATGGGGTCCAACGAATGGATTGACCGGTGTGGGGAAACCCGCGTTCGATCCTACGTTGACCGGGGTGGGAAAGCCCGCGTTCGGTCCAAAGTTGACCGTCGAGGCCGAAGCCGTAGTCGGTCCGAGAAACGGGTTCGAATTACCGACGGGGTGATCCCCCGTGGTTTCGAGCCCGGGAATGGGTCGAGGGGCCGACCCAAAAATCGAGCTCGGCATTGAAAACGACGTCATGGTCGCGGCCCCCACACTTGCCCCAAAGGGTAGTGGTGAGGACGGCAGAACCATGGCGGCCGAAGAGGTTTCCACCAGGATTTCGGAACTCATTCCGTTGCCGGAGGAACCCACGATGCCGAATCCGAACTCCATTATACTACCTTAAGATTGTTGATTATTACAGTGGGAAAATAAAAAGAAAATAATCCGAACTTATAAAACGTTCTGATTTTACAACAAAATGAAAGAAAAAAAAATAAAACTTGGAGTCTTCGGATGCTTGAACGAACGCAAGAACACGAACGGACGGAGAGAGGAACGACGCCGGAGCAAAGAAGGGTAAGGAAAGCAGAGTCGCCGAAGCTTTCCTTAAGGTAGTATTGCCCGCCTCCCGCACTGGCTAACGTGGGCAATCTCCTCCCAGGATAAAACCGCTACGTGCTAAGTCTAGAGCGGTAGAACAGAGCACCGGCGAACGAGAATGTCGGAGAGTTATCGCCGGAGAAGATGACCGGAGATGGGGAATTATCGGAAGTTTTGGAATGCAGAGACAAAGAGAGATTTTCGAGTGAGTGTCACATCTCTCGACCAGCCTCTCCTTAAATAGGAGGAGGCTTGGTTAACAGGACGGTTCGGACGGAGAAACGAAGTGTACACGCACGTTTCATTTTGGTCTCGTAAAAATTTAGCCACGCCACGCCGCGGGCGCGACGCGCCCCGCCCCGCGCATGTCGTGCCGTGTCGAGCCGGACGGACGGCGGCGGCGAGCGCGTGAGGAGTTCTCTTCTTGTTCCTTTCATAAGCTCAATTCAATGCCTAAGCTTAAATATGAGAATATGAAAGGTTTAGAAACCAGTGTGGGACAAAGGCATTTACTATACCTTAGTATTCAACTTTGAGAATTAATTTCTCATTCACCCGAGCACCGTTTATGACGTGTCATATGTCAAGACGTTCGTCTTACTTACGAGATTAATCGTCCATAATTATTTTGGAAAAATAATTTTGTGGACCCTATCAAATTTATGTCCGAAAATGTCCAATTTACTTAAAAAATTCCAACATTAAGATATAAAACTTTTTATTTAGGGAGTAATGAATCCATGTATTTAACAGCTCCAAGTCTTAATCTTTCATTATCTAGTAAGTCTCAGCTCATCTGCTCCGTAAAGTAGCAAACTTTAGCTGCTTTTCTAACTATCATCAGCTAGCGCGTTTAGTAATATGGTCCTCTTTGAAGGAATGAAGAAATATATCAAGAGAAAAGTGTATTGATTTTCTGGATGAGTTTCCATTTGAAGCTAAATTACTTCATGTTCATATTTGATCCTTTTCATTTGAATGGATGCTTAGAGAGCTTGTAGATGTTGGAATTAAGATTTGAAGCTTTTTTTAGTGAGAAATGAATCCATTTATTTAACAGCTCCAAGTTTTAAATCTTTCATTATCTAGTAAATCTCAGTTCATCTCAGTTCATATTTAATCCTCTTCATTTGAACATATGCTTAGAGAGCTTGTAGATGTTCAAATTATGATATGAAGCTTTTTTAGTGAGAAATGAATCCATTTATTTAACAGCTCCAAGTTTTAAATCTTTCATTATCTAGTAAATCTCAGTTCATCTCAGTTCATATTTAATCCTCTTCATTTGAACATATGCTTAGAGAGCTTGTAGATGTTCAAATTATGATATGAAGCTTTTTTAGTGAGAAATGAATCCATTAATATAATAGCTCCAAATTTGGGTTATAAATTTTCCTTCAGTTTGGATGTCAGGTTCAGTGATTGTGGATCTCTATAATGGAGTATCACCACCAAACAAACAACCACAATATCACTCCCAACTTGTCGTGTGAAATACTAAAACTCATGTATTTAATTTATTATTGTTTGATTTGTGTCTGGCATGAGCGTGTGATGAGGCATCATGATCTATGGCTAACTGTCTCCGCCTTTAAAGTTTAAATAGGAGGCAGTTCTCCAAGAGGGGATAGACAATGTCATGCTTTTAATTAATTGCCTTTTTATTTAATGATTACGCACTTAGAGAGCTTTGAGTTTGATGATTAACATTGTAGCTTAGGATTCAGGTATAGGAGTTAGTTAAGTGGGAGAGTGCCTTTATAATTATTTTTGGGTTTTGTTATTTTTAGGTTCTCTATTTTTATTCACCATTTCTTTACTCCATAGTTTCTTTAATTATATTATTCATCTTTTGATACACAAAGCCCCTATAGCACTCCATATACTGATTTGCTCAGTCAGTTTCTTTTTTAACCTAAATTACTTCATGTTAATATATGATCCTCTTTATTTGAACAGCTGCTTACAGAGCTTGAAAATGCTCAAATTAATATATGAATCTGTTTTTTGTTGTAAGAAATGAATCCATTTATTCGGATGCCAGAGTCAGTGATTGTTGTTCTCTATAATGGAGCACCATCAACAAACAAAAATAATCAATGATGACTTTTTAATTGCCTGTTTAATTGCTTGTTTAATTTAATGGATGCTTACTTTGGAGAATTGGAGTTTGGTGGCTAATGTTATACTAGTTGTAGACAGGGAGGGCACTCTACTTTGCAAATGACATACTAAAAAATCTTCATAACCTTGTATATCCTGCATCTTTTAGTTTTTTTTTTGTTTATTGCCAATTGGCTTATTTATGCATGAACTATTCGTATGGACAAATCATAGATCTATTCGAACACCTTGTTGTTGTTATCGTTATATTTGACTTTAATTTATGTCTTCTGATTTCTGAATGCTGGATTAGGTAATGCTTCCTTTACAGATAGTGATACATACATTCAATGATACAAACTTTTATGACTTTGATTTCTGTCTCACCCATTCCTGCAAACTTTCAGTGGCGTAGCATAGCCCAAAAAGGACCATATTCAAAGTGTTCCTTAATGACATTCTCAGTATTATCAGATTATGGAAAGTATGATCCGAAGGTGGGTGAAGAAACAGAGAAGAACTTTATTGAGCTATTGTGTCAGAGGAACTGAAATTGCGAGAAGTAGAAGCCTCTGAGTATAAGCACAAAGCTTACATCGCATTGCTGGAGGCGAAGAGGATGACATCCAAGTATATGAATTAAGTAGAAAAGTGCAACTCTGGGATGACATCAAGTCCAAGTCTTTCCATGTATACGTTTATCTCGTAGGATCGAAGTATCCATCTTTGTGTTTGAAGCCCCTATGAAGACATCCGAGGAGGCGTGAGAAAATGCCCCTATGTGGCTCTAGAGACGTAAAAGGTGAGCAATGTGGGAGCTGAGGGCCTGCCAGATGGGGGATGGAAAGAGAAGTCTTCCAATTTGCAATGAGAAGTCTTGAGACTCATGGCAATTCCAAGCCTATCCGCGTATACGTTTATCTAGTAGGATCCAAGTACCCAATCTTCGGGTTAGTGAAGGGAGCTTATTTGTGTTCTCTTTAGTGCTGAATTTCAAACTCCAATGGATTACTAAAGTTGTCCCAAAAAGGATAAACTGTTCACCTACATGTCGTGCACATCCCACGGTTGCCATCTTGAAAGGAGTCAATTCACTCTACCCAGCAGCTTCTTGGGTGGGAGGCCTAATAACAAACCATAGTCTTTGTTCCAATTCTACCACATTGTGTTATAAATCCGTTCGAAAATGGGGAAGAGGGAAATTGTGCTAATGATTTGAGTTGAGGTCAGATTGTTTATATTTTCATGTCACATCACCTTCATGGCTTTATCTGCTCCTTTTTCTAGCACCCTCCGGGGCAATGGATAAGGGAACTCAGTTGGCTTGGATTATCTGTGGAAGAAAACTCTTTTATTTGGAGTTAATTAGCTTCAGCTTCTTCTAAGACTGTGTTGTCCTCAAACTCCCTTCTCCCTTTACCGGAAATGATGATAAACGGCATTCTCATAGTTCTGAAAACTGGCTAGTCAGTGTTTTCAAATGGAATAGCAAGCAAGATACAAAGGAAGTTTTTCCACATTGCAGTACAATTGGTGTTATTGCATGTAAAAAACTTGAACTCTTTTATATTGGTCGAGCACCGGGCGATCGTGAACAGTAGTCGCAGAATATTTCTAGAGTTTTGGCTCCGATACCATGAAAGAATTATTTGGGAGAAAATTCTTTGTATGTTTCTCTTGTCTTTACAATTTACAATGAGGACATATGTATAGGAGCTCACAAGTTGAGATTCTTAATCAGTAAAGGAAAAAGAAAAAGAAAGAATCTCTATACAAGGAAAACTATCAAAACAATATACACAAATATCTCCAAAAATACTACTTAGTCCGTCCCTGAGTGTTTGTCCACTTTTGACTTTTGGAACTGTTCATCTAAGCACTTTGACTCATCAAATTCTCTCAATGTGTAAGCCTAAAAATAGTCATGTGTGATCTTGTTTGATTCGTCTTAACATATAGATTATTAATATATAATTTTTATAATTTTTTAATATACAAATTAGAAGATAAAATGAATTAAAGAAATGCATTGGATGGTGTGCAAAAATAAAAGTGGACAAACACTCAGACCATTGGTGCTGAGGGTTGTTGGACGAGGTTCATGGGTGGGTGTTGAAGGACGATGGGTGGGAATAGGGGGTTCTGGCGAGTGGGGTGGTGGGTGATGGTAGGATGTTTGGCGGGCATAGACAATGGGATGGAGCTAGGAGGGTGAGGAATGGGGTAGCGGGGTGGGGCTGGATGATGGTTGTAGTGTATTGGGGTTGAGATAGGGGGTGATAGGCGGTAGAGGGTGGGATGGGGATAGTAGGGGGTGGCGGGTGGTAGGAAAGGGGTATGTGGTTGCGGGGCAGATGGAGTTTATTTTTTTCTTCGAATTCTAACACTAGAAAATAGAATCAAAATTTTATTTAAAAATATTTTCATCCCAACCAAATACACCCTAAATCACAAAAAATAAAAAAAGAATAAAAGTATTTCAACAAAAAGTACGCCAAGAGTAACGTAACTACTCTTGGTCAGAAAAAAGAGGTCGGTATTTTTCTCACATGGTTTATTTCTTCTTCTTTTTTCATTCCTCTATGGAGTCAAAGATTCACTATTATTTAGCTTTGGGTATGATGAAATAATGGAAATTGACTCTTTAAATTATCTGTGTTTCTTGCAATTATG